AATTTCAGTTCTTGGTTTTGGGGTGTTTTTCCCCTTTTTTATCCTCTCCATAGGAACAGCTACTGTCCCCATGTCTAGAATCCCCACTAAGAGAGAAAAGAATAATAGGCAGAGCCAGCTGGAAAATTTGAGCCCTAATTTTTTCACATAAGCAAAACTTCTCAGAATAAGCAAATACATAGGCAAATACATTTTGCCCCTTTAACCTTTACCTGGTATACGTACTAGAATAAGCATGTTAAACTCGAGGCCCGTGGGCCACATGTGGCCCACAACGAATATTTTTGTGGCCCAGCCAATATAATGGTATGTAAAAAACGTTATGTTTTTTGGTTTCTTTGGGGGGTTTTTTAAAGAGACCACAAACTCCATATTTTATTGATTTTTTACAGAGAGGAAGGGAGAGGGATAGAGAGTTAGAAACATCAGTGAGAGAGAAACATCGATCAGCCGCCTCCTGCACACCTCCTACTGGGGATGTGCCTGCAACCAAGGTGCATGCCCTTGACTGGAATCAAACCTGGGACCCTTTAGTCCGCAGGCCGATGCTCTATCCACTGAGCCAAACTGGTTTGGCTGTAAAAAACGTTTTAATAAAAATTTTGTAACTTATCATGTTAAGCACCATGTCAGTCACTGGTGACTGACACTATACTTTCTGTCCAGACAGGTCAGTCACTGGTGCCGCCAGCATATCGGTGAAATTGGATATTGCGGGCTAAATGGAAAAGAAGACAAAACAGGCTTGGTGCTTACCGTGTTAAGTTTTACAATATCCTGCTATACATAATCTTATATAATAAAAGGCTAATATGCAAATCGGCAGAACCGGTCGCTATGACGTGCATTGACCACCAGGGGGCAGACGTTCAATGCAGGAGCTCAATGAAGGCTGGGCTCACGGCTGGCAAGCACTGCTAAGGCTGTCCCCAAGGACTCCCAGACTGTGAGAGGGCACAGGCCGGGCTGAGGGCCCCCCCCCCCCGCCCCGAGTGCACGATTTTCGTGCACCGAGCCTCTAGTTATTAATAATGAACTACAACATTTGCTAATGACTGATTACTATAATCATGTTGCATTCATTTCCCTTACGCGCCTTATGTGTAGGCGCACCATTTCTCTCCACTAATACTAGCAGCAAATATTTTAGCAGCCAATTGCCACGTCACTAATCTTGTACTGATTTGTTTGGTGTGCACAACAGGAAATATTTCGCTTTTGGAGAACAAGAAAAATAGGTCTATTTGCATTACGCTTCTTAATCTGTGCAGTTATTCAGTATCTGGTAAGTTAATGTTCAAGAAAAAATATTAATTTTTATTAAAATGTTCTATTATTTTATGTTAATGATTACTCATTTATTTCAGCCCTTTGTATTCAGCGTGTCTCTATTGAAATAAATCTACGTTTCTATGAAAATTGAAGCTTTTGGGGTTTTTTTGCAGTCCCCATAAACTTAAACCTTGTTTATTTGGCCTGTGTTAGCCTTTGAGTTTGACACACTTGTACTAGAAAGGAAAGCTTTACAAACACATTAAAAAATGATATTTTCTTTATTACTTGAGTCCCTTTTTCATTCACCTTATATCAACCACTGTAGGCACCCAAATAAATATTTGCTCTTGGCACCATCAGGCCAATAGCCCAGTTGTGAACAGTGAATTTCCCACTGTGAAGGATGTTACCTGACACTGAGCTAACCCACACCCATATTCAGGTATTCATATCTGGTTTCTATTCACTGATCCAGTATTTTTTCTAACGTTGTTTTCAAAATTTACCAGCTTCTCAATAACAGTTTTTAATTGAAAAAAAAAAAAAAAAACTAACAAAAAACATCTCTCCAATCTCCAGCTGCAGTATGATCATATAAATAATTTTAACTAAATTATACCCTATGTGTATTTGACAGGCATAGAAGAGTTTTGCCCAGTGGCCTGAAATGCTCCCCCAAATTTTGATAGCTTCCTGTGAACATTTAATATTTTAAACTATATTAAAAACGAAATCCTGAGAACTTCAATTATATAGTGACTTTGCCTACACAGGAAATCATTTCCTTCTAAGTACTGTGCTTATCTGTTCTGATTTCTGAATTCGTGGGAAATCTTCCAGCCTTTGGTTTTTTCTGACCCAGGCAATTAACCACAGTGGAGAAAAGTAACCCTAAGAACTTTACCAGATTGTGCAATGTTCTAATAAAACACAAGAGGGCAGGTTTTGCTTTATTGTAAACCCAATTCAGCTATGTTGTTAATCAGGAAGGTCACTGTGCTAATTACACATTCAGAAATGCTCAGTAACAGTGAATGAGTAATCAGAATGTGTATGCTGGCAGAAAATCTGTGGTATTTTAATAAAGAGGAACAAGTTTAAGCCTTTCTACGAGGTGTTATTTACAACACAGAGCACAATTATATGTGGGAGACACTGTGATGGTTTTAGCTTTTATTTATAAACTTCCAAAGGAGCAGAGGATGGCCAGAAGAAGAAGAAAGGACCAAATCCAGTCATATTACATCCAAGAAGTCTGACTGGTATCAAGGTGGCAAATAACACAAGTGGTTTAATGATTTCTGCCAAATAGATATAGTCTTGGTGAAAATATATAGAGCAAACAGGCCTGGAGTAGTTGTGCTTCTGTTTGCTTTGTTTACTTTTAGAAAACTTTGTTAAGCTCACAATTTTCTTATGTGTTGGTTTCAAGATTTCACAAGTGTATTTTCAGCTTGAACTGTCATTATAGCTTAAGTCAAAATATCATACAGTCTTTAGAGAATTTCTAAAGAAACTCTTGAGCCCATTCGAATAGGAAAAGCACTTGTTTGCCTCGCTAGGTAATTTTCCCACTTACTTCTTCCACTGGAACAGGCTGTTAAGCTATCAGATAGTGGAGGGCCCTAAAATGGCACTGTGAGGACCCAACTTTCTATCCTTGTCCCTAGAAATGGTAGAATTAAGGCCTGCTGTCAGTGGGGAGAAGATATACCCAAAAAGAAAATATAGCTGAGAAGTATACCTTTGTATTAGGTTGTTTGAAGTAAAATTTTGCCTACCTTATGCCCTACTCAGAATCTAAAATATAGTTTATTTCATGGTTCAGGTTCACTTTGAGATTAATTTATTCATTCAAAAATATTAATAGAGCGTTCATGATGAGCAAGGCACTGTAGAAATAAGAAAAGTTCAACCTTGGGTTTTGTAATTGCATTGAGGAGAGTAATTATCTCCCAGTTCAGAATGAATTGGCTCTTTTATGTGCCTGTGTCAATTAACTGCCAACATTTTCTGATTACTCGAAGTGCTCTGATACAGTGACACTGGAGCCATACAGAAAGGTGTGCCACCTGTCCTCTGGAAGCTTCAAGTCTAGATGTAGAAGTAAACAGGACATGGCCATTACCTCACTGCTTCTAACTTCCTTCTTCTGGGACCTCCAACAAGTTGATCGATGGAGAAGGCTTTCCAGAAGGGTCAGTGAATTAGCTGCTGCAGACCCCTCCTTCCTGGTCAGTGACTGCAAGTAGCCACTCTCCCACACCCCCCAGACCCCCACCCCCAGGATCAGTCTTTAAACCATGGGGACATCAATCATAACTCTTCACCTGGGAAAAGGGTGGTGCCTCGTTTCTCTTACCTATGTAACAGACAGCCAGGAAGTCTCAATTGCTTAGAAACTCCAAAGTAGAAACATCGGTTTAAGAATTTGTTTCCCAAAATGGAGTAACTATTATGTATTATATATTTCTTTTTAAAAAGTGAAGTAGTTATTATGTATTATATAGACTCATCTACACTAATAAAAGACAAAGATGCAAATAGACCGTACCTTCCCTATGCCTTAAGCCATGCCCACCAGCCAATCAGAGCGACTGTATGCAAATAAACCCAACTAAGATGGCGGGCGGCAGCCACAGAGCTGGTGGCTGCTGCCTCCCCTCAAGGCAACAAAGTTTCAATTATAGAAGGTAAATAAGTCTCAGATACCTGCTTCCAGTCACCATGGCCACAGAGCTGGAGCGAATAAAAAAATAATAAAAAAACGCAAAAAGGAAAGGCAGGGAGCTTCGGTCGCCGGGGGGCTTGGTCAGTCTGAAAACAGCCACCAGCCCCTCTCACCCAGGCTGGCCAGGCACACCAGTGGGAACCCCCACCCTGAAGGGGGTGTGGGCAGCCTGAAAACGGCCCTCAGTCCCTCACCCAGGCTGGCCAGGCACCCCAGTGGTGACCCTCACCCTAAAGGGGGTGTGACCAGCCTGAAAAGAGCCATCAGCCCCTCACCCAGGCTGGCCAAACCCCCATGGGGTGAGGGTCCCCACTGGGGGAGCTTGACCAGCCTGCAAACACCCATCAGCCCCTCACCCAGGCTGGCCAGGCACCCAAACAGGACCCCCACCCTGATCCAGGGCACCCTTCAGGGCAAACCAGACAGCCCCCACCAGTGCACCAGGCCTCTATTCTATATAATAAAAGGGTAATATGCAAATTGACCCTAACAGCAGAAGGACTGGGAATGACTGGTCACTATGACACACACTGACTACCAGGGGGCAGATGCTCAATGCAGGAGCTGCTCCCTGGTGGTCAGTGCACTCCCACAGGGGGAGCTCTGCTCAGCCACAAGCCAGGCTGATGGCTGCCAGCACAGCGGTAGTGGCGGGAGCCTCTCCCGCCTCCTCAGCAGTGCTAAGGATGTCTGACTGCAGCTTAGGTCTGCTCCCTGCTGGTAAGTGGACATCCCCCCAGGGCTGCCAGGCTGCCAGAGGGATGTCTGACTGCCAGCTTGGGCCCGATCCCCCAGGGAGCGGGCCTAAGCCAGAAGGTGGACATCCTCCGAGGGGTCCCAGACTGCAAGAGGGCATAGGCCGGGCTGAGGGACCCCCCCGAGTGCACAAATTTTTGTGCACCGGGCCTCTAGTGTGTGCTAGAATTGATGCTCACAAATTATTATTGTTAAAAAACAATAGCCCCATCAGATGATAATAATCTGCAAAACAACATTTATTTTTATTTTCTTCTTTAATAAGTTTTTTACTTCTTGTTAATGTGAGATTAAAATTATTCATTAGGATTATTATAATTAACAATGTTAAATCCTAAGCAAGACACAAATTAATGTCAAAGAATTTTAGAATTAGAAGAGAATTTCGTTCACAAAGGAAAGATGTCAGTGGATTTCATTTCACTTCTGTGTATTAGATTTATAAAAACATTTCCTTTGAAATCATAATTCTTATACATATAATTTTTCTCATACTGAGGATATAGCATATAAAGTTATCTATTCATTTTCTTCAAGGTTGAATTTTCTTCCTATCATTGAGAAGTATAACCCTACAATGCTCATTGATATTTTCTGAATTTATTTGCATAACATTCAATGTATGTAAATACCAACTCTTTTTATCCTACAGGTTTGTTCTACCTTTAAATTTTTTAAAAGACATTCATCATTGATTTATTGTAATATTAGAAACTGTTAGAAAATGTTATTCCTCTTAAAAGGACTATAAAATCAGGAAATTATTTTTTTCAGGAAGACATTATAAAATATAATATTTATAAGTTTCAGCACTAAAGATAAAATAGCTAAGTATAAATGACTATCCTTTACTTCTACCACAAATAGATCTTGCTTTAAACAAATCTTATGAGAATACAATGTATGAAAATTCTAATATACCTAAAAGAGAAGCTAGAGGTGGTTATTTGCTTTATAGAATTATTCATAATAGTTCATCTATAAAAACTAATTCCCCTGATGCTTTTAACGTAGAAATGATTTATGCACAACTTTTCTGGAACATCCTATCATGCACAGCTATATGTTCATTTTAATATATATCTCCTTTGGTGTAAAAATGGATGTAAAAATGTGTTCAACTCTGAGTCGGGAGCATAAACTTTTCAAAGTGGAGAACGTTAATGAAACATTGTTAAATTTTCCATATGCTGTTAAAGGCAGGAATTCTGATGCAGCTGTGGCTAAAAAAATCTCAGCAGTCCTTCACCCCATGAAGGACTCTGGGCTACCTTGGTTCTTATTTGCTGAGCCTACTCTTAAATATACCTGTGGCTTTATGAGACTCAAATTCAGTTCAGATTGAGCTTTGTCCATTTCTCTGGCTTTCCCAGTTTTATTCCAGTGGACAACACTGGGTGTTGGTGAACCTTGTACCCTCTAAGCCCCCATCTGTAGAAGGCAGCTCTAGGATCCTCTTAGCACCCATTCTTGACACACATCAATTCCAGAGAGAGGTGCTGAAATGAGCAGACAAACGGGCTACCTTCTAGAACTTTGGCCTGATACATAAGTACCAGATATGAGCAGGTGAAATTTGCCTTGAACTCTCAATAGCTATTAGCTTCTTGGAAGTGAAGATCATATTGCTAAATTTAAACATCTTAGTGGAAAAAAAAATGCCTCAATCTTATCTCTCGTGATCTGATGTTTACTAAATGGAGCATAAGCATTTAATTCTGAGTGGTTCTATTTTGTATACTTGGTTTGCTTTTAAATGATGAGACTTAATTAATTAATATTCATAAGTAATGTCAGTATAATACAGAATTAATTAGTACAAAGTCAACTCTTAAAAATAAGCCAAATGCATTTTAGGTTAGTAATTTTTCATCTGAGGCTACCTAGTAAAGAAATTGGTTCAGGATCAGTCAAATGAGACTGAGAGCAATGGAACTCTGATATTCGGGATCCTCACCAGCCTTCTCCAGTCAGCCTTTCCTGGAAAGAGGGATTCTATTTTTGGTAATGGTTTGAAATTGTATGTTAGTTAACTGGAAAGCTCTATAATTTAATCCTTCATTTACTTATTTATCACTGTATGATTCATATTTATCCAGCTATTGAATCTTGTGATATGTCTACTGTTAAGAACTTCAGACTTTTGACAAATTCTGAAAAGTCTGATATATAAAAGAACCGAATCATTCATTCATTCATTTATTCTCTACCTTACTTGGAAAATAAGGCCTATTTTCATCCTCTCAGCCATTTTAAAGGCTGAAGAGGAAAAGAAGAAAAATAAGCCTCAAGAAGACAATCAGAAAGGCACCTAAAAGCATAGATATTTGTAGTTCAAAGGGAGCTCAGAGACCATTGTGGCATCTGCCACTTCCTACCCCACCCTATTACAAATGGTGACACTTGAGCTGAGAAAGATTGAACCATAATCTTGTCCAAATCACAAATTTCACTAACCATAATATTATAATAAATCTACACAACCAACTTTTTTTTTATGTTCTCAAAACACTGAGGAGGCTAAATCAATATGGGGAACTATTATGAGATAGCACACATCTTCAGCTCTACCTTTGTTTGATGGTAGAGATAGCCTCAAGCACTTCAGCTTCAGTCTGTTACACAGAAAAGCAAACCAGAAACTACAGCTAAGCATCATCTGTGTTTGGGATCATCACAACAGAATGAGCTGTGCCAAAGATCTTTAGCTAAAGGAAGAACCATGAGGATTAGTTTGTTGTCAGGGTCTCAGCAACAAGGTCTTTGTGGCTGGCCTCTTCTCTAGGGTAAGGCATGAGCATCCTAGGCTTCTTCTGTGTATCTCTTGTTCAAATGTGTCTCCATTAAGGGCGCATATCCTTTGCGAAGTCTTCTGTACTGAAGGAAAGCCAGCAAGACAAAAAGACCAACCAAAGCCACCAGCATTCCCATAACCACTGGGAGAGTCACGGACCAACTTGGAGTTTCTTCAACTGAAATTAAAACAGAAGAAACAAAGTCTGTGGTTGGGATTTTCATCAGCTGAACACTCTTCACAAAGGAAAAAGTAAACCAATTTGCCTTTTACATGAATTTTTGTTGATAAAGCAAAACAACACTGGCTAGAATAAAATTTATCTTCTCCTTCCTCACCAACTATTTATCATAGCCACAATTGTTTTCTTTCTTAAGGAAGTGGGAAATGTCATTCCATTATTTAAATACAGTTTCTTGCATCTTTAAAATTTTCTTACAATAAATATTTATATAGAATAAACCCTCCAAGGAAGTATATATAACTACTTTTGTGAGTTAGAAACTCATTTGTAAACGTGCATGCTAAAATGGTATCTGGTGAACTGCAAAATATGCAACCCTCAGGTGGAGAATTTCTGCCATTGTCTCTACCTGCTTTATGGGATGATAAATGATCAAGACAGATCAGATGGGTTATTACAACAGGAGACATTCAATAACAGGAACAGTTAAAATTGGTACCCATTTAGGTAGTTGTGAATAAAATCTACATGAGAAATCCAATCCTCTACTCAAATGTATTTTATAATCACTCTTCCACAAAATTAATGGATATTATTTCTAGTATATGTATACTTACTTGTCATTTTTTTTGAAAGTATCTTAGCCTGGACAGCTGTTCTTAAATTCAGTTTCTCTACACTAGGTTCTTGTTCTATATCCCACACTTATCTAAATGTAGATTCTCCTTCTCGTTCTTTTCTTTCAATCCCACAGAGGGCTCTGACCCATCCTGATGGGATTCCCCCAAAAGGACTTTAATTTGTCTCCTTTTGCTCTAATTGAGCAGCATCTTTTGCCAATCTAAGCTTCTTAAAACACAGATTTCAAGTCCGCATTTCTTTGTTCAGGAACCAAAAATTATTGTTTTTTGTTATTGTCCAAACTGCCCTGCCTAGCTTTTTTTTAAATTAATATTATTTTTTAATTGTGGTAAAATACACATAACATCTATTTTACCCTCTTAACCATGTTTATGAATATAGTTCTGTGACATTAAGTACATTCACACTGTTGTGCAATTATCACCACCATCCATCCGCAGAACTTTTTTCATCTTGTAGAACAGAAATGGTAACCCACCCATCTCCCACTCCCCACCCCAGATCCTGGTGACCACCATTCTACTTTCTATCTCTATAAATTTAACTACTCTTGATACCTCAAAGAAGTGAAATCATACAGTTTTGGGCCTTTTGTGACTGCTTTATTTAACTTGGCATACTGTCTTCAAGATTCATTCTTGTTGTACCACATGACAGGATTTTTTAATGAATATTTTTAATGAATGAATTATTAATGAATAAGACTCCATTGTATGCATATACCACCTCTATGTATCCATTCATCCATCAGTGAATACTTGGGTTGCCTCCACCTTACATCTACTGTGAATAAAATTGCTATGAACAGAGTTGTACAAATATCTGTTTGATTACTTGCTTTCAATTCATTGGGATATATATCCAGAAGCTGATTTGCTAGCTCATGTTGTAATTCTATGTTTAATTTTTTTTTAGAAACTTCCATATTGTTTTTCCACAGAGGCTATGCCATTTTACATTTTGACCATCAGTGCACAAGGCTTCCAATTTCTCCATATCTTCATAAACACTTGTTATTTTCTGCTTTTTTTTGTTAGTAGCCATCCTAATGGGTAGAAAATGGTACCTAATTGTGGTTTTTGCCTAGTTTTTAAAGTCCTACATAATCAGGTCCTTCTCGCAGATCCAACTTTGCTTTATTTTTTTAACTATTCAACGCCCATTTTTTCTTTTTTAAATTGAATTTAGTGGGGTAACATTGGTTAATAAAATTATATATGTTTCAGGTGTATATCACATATCCAACTTGAATTCACAATAATCTTCTACCCAAGCCTTATATTACAACCAGGATTTCTTCGCACAGTCCTCTATGTAGACTATCTGTGCCTTTCACAGTCCTGTGCCCTGCCCTTCTTCAATCTAAAATGTTGCTACTTTCCTCCTCAGCTACCTAAGATCTATCATCTCTTCGAATCTAGCTCAAGACCTACCTCCTTTCTCAAATCCCTCACTCCCTTCTCTGACTTCTGGTTATAGTTCTGCTACCTCAGATGCAACTGTAAACTTATTTGTCAGACCAGTAAATGAGTATGAGTTTGTGTCTTCTAGTGAGTCAATGCTTTCAGGGTATATTTAGACTCTCAGTCTATACCTCTTAATTGGCTGATTTCAGAGCAGGAAAGATGCTCAAAATGCACATTGCAAACTTTTTGGTTATTTTATGTCCCAGAGAAAAGGAAAAGAAGTTTCAAAGAGATACCCCCAGTTGCCCACAGAAATGAAATTTCAAATCAGGAAGGAGAAGGGGCAGCAGTAGATGCAAATTAGAAGGAAAAACAGGGGACAGATTCTGGGGCCTGAAAGACTCTGCAGTCAAAGAGACAAATGTGAGTTAAAACACAGTCCTAATTACTTTGTAGGTGGAGGCTTAGTGAAGATGAAATAGACACAAATGGGAAAAGCTACTGGCAGAGGGGATGTCTGTTTTTTGACTTCTTGACAAATTAAGATGTTTGCTATTATTTTAGCTTTCTTTCTCAACCTGTTCTAAGATTTTTTAATGAGGTATAATTGATATACCACACATTATTAGTTTTAGGTGTACAACATAATGACTCAATATTTGGATATATTGCAAACTAAGAGTCTTTAAATGGCACACAGAGCTATATTGGGGCCTAGGTAAAAAAAAAAAAAAAAAAAAAAAAAAAGTGCCCCTATATGAACTTATCAAAATATCCTTCTATATTTTGAACCAAGTAAGAAAAGCAAATAAAAAAATCAACAATCTAAAAACATGTCTTAAAAAAGCATTAATTTATAAAATATACACATGAAGTCCCATGTAGCCCAATCTGTTAGCAGACAATGGTCAGCATCACAAACCCCACCTAGCAGGGGTGGTATGGGATAATTGGAAAAAATGGTCCAGTTACAAAATGTTGCAAGAATATAAAACAAACAACAGCCTGTCTTTATTTAAAATTTTGATAGTGAACTCATCAAAACATTTTTGCATTTATTGTTTTAAAATATTGCATGATATTATTACATATCTAGATTACTAACATATTTGGCCTCCCCTGAAACTTTGTGGTCCAAACAAGTGCTGCTCTTGCCTCACTCTAAACCCAGCCTTGCCTTCCAGTAATGATCTCCTGGGAGTCCCTCTCCACATGAGGCTAGAGAATTTTGACTTTACAGTTCAAACCATGGCCAGCTTTCAATTAACTCAGACAAAACTGTCAAATCAAGTGTAGGAGTAGATACTTCCTCTGTGGAATAAGGTTTGTTCACAACTTTTAGTTTTCTAAAACAACAGTCATCCAACCAGTCCCTTTTCTGATGTTTAATTAGTAGTTCAAAGGCTAATTTTACTAAATATATGTATCCTAGAAAATTGCCAATAAAGTTAATGAGACCTGAATGCTTCAATTTAAGGTCTTGGTTTACATGTTTTAAAAAAAGAAAGAAAGCTCCTTTAAAAGATGAATCACCCATTTAGAAGTTGTATTAGTTACCTGGAAGATCAATGGCATAGCTGTAGCCAAGTTGGTCTGCGGTTAAAAATAATTCCTGATTAGTCACCGAAGGGAAGAAAGGAACCATGTTGTACATCCGATTGTGACCAATGGGTGCCAGCTCCTGAGGCCAAGCATCTGCGGAAGGATTGAATCTTCTCATCCACTCATCAAAAATGGCATCAGTAAAGGCATGGAGGACCTGCAAGACATTGAACATGACCTTTAACATTTATCAGACTATTTCAGTTAGATTAACCTGGCTGGAGCTTTCTCTACAATGGAACGTAGGTCTTCTTGACATGAGCAACTCTGTATACCCAATCTAATATCAGTGACATGCCTACTGGTATTTTCAGTTAAGTTTTCAAGAATGTATGACATATTGCTCCAAACAGGATTACAAACCCCTTTGTCGAGTGAACAAATGAAGATTCTGTTGCAGATTGAACACTGGTTTGGGAACATTTGAGGCCTTCAACAAGTGTAGGTTAATGATTAAGTTCAGAAAAAGGGCGAGGATGATAGATACATAGCCTAGTCAAATTTCAGGTGCTTTTGCTTTAACAGGAGAAATAGAAGAGGCTGCATTTCCCAGTATTATAATACAAATGGACAGTTAGAAATATATCTGAAATGGGTTTTCAAATTTTTCTCACCAGGAGTACCCTTCTGTGTACTCACTTGATAACCCTCTATTGGAATTTTGAGTATTATGCCAGGAAAAGAAAGTCTAAAAATGTTGTAATGTGCATAGTGCTTATTTTAATTTTCTCAAGGAAGCTGTTAAAGTTCTTAAATACAGAAATTGTTACATGTTTTAAAATATTCACAGCAAAATTTCCACATGTATAGCCCTGATTTCACAACAGAATATAAATGTGAGTTCAGTTTAGGCTTTATGCCTGGTCGTTAGAGTTCCTCTATCATTTCTAGACGGTAAGTTCAAGGAGCTCAGAGAAACTGTCTGCTTTCTTTCCATTGTGTCCCCAGTGCCTGTCACCCCAGGGCCTGTCACATGGGAGAGGAAGGTACTTATTTCAATAAGTACTTAATAATAAATTTATTCATCCATTCACCATTGTTACTTCTACCCCAAATATAGCACTGGTCAAATTATACTATAACTAGAGGCACAATGCACGAAATCATGCATGGGTGGAGTCTGTCAGCTTGGCCTGACATCGAGGCCATCTTGCCACCACCCACCCCGGTTCCCCATTCACCATCTGGTGACGGGATCCTAACGGCCGGGGGAGGCACCAAGAGATCAGCCATTGCTGCCCGCTCACCAGCCCCAACCCCACTGCGGGTCGCCCTCTGTGTAGGGGGCGACCGGCAGGGTGGGGGCCTTGGCCTGGCACCACCCGCATCTCCTACCACCCACCCCAGTTGCTGTTTGCCATTGGCGATCGGAGCCTGCCAGCCGGGAAAAGGGACCAAGAGGTGGTCAGTGCACCTCATAGTGACTGGTCAAGTGGTCATTCTGGTCGTTCTGCCATTATGGTCACTGGGTTTTTATTATATAGGATGTTATTTATTTACCTATTTCCCCTAACAAGACCCCTAACTCCTAAATAAGGTCTCTCTGCCTTTGAAGCCTCAAGCTTAGTATGCAACCGGGACAAAGTTGATGCTGAGTAAGTATTTGTTGGCTGATGACAGTGTCATGCCAAAGTACTTATATTTTCTGTACAATTGACCCAAACAGGTACCTTTCTAACTGGTCTGCAAAGTCATTCCTTCTGTTTTCTGGCATCAGAGTCTTTCAGGGACGAAGGAACTCAATAACCCCTGTCCAGGCACATCTTCCCTGCTTGCCCACAGTCAGAATTCTTTGCTCTTTGCACTTCTTAAACCGCTTTAGATGCATTGCCCTTCTGGCTTGTATTATCATTGTTTATTCAGTAGATAACATTTTCATATCTTACCCAAGGTTCCTTGAAGTTTAGTTGCCCCGTTCAGGTAACAATGGGGGCTTTCTACATTGTCTCAAGTGGCTGCATTCCGAATAGTAACAGAAGTCAAGTTATTTACTGAAGGGAATTTGTTGTCATGAGTAGATTTTTAAAGTTTATGGCAGAGACAATCATCTTAAAAACCAAAATATCATATTATAAGGCCTAGGATTTTAGAGAGATAAAAGATATTTTTCAGAAGTCTTGGCTTTGAGTAACAAAATTTTAACACCAAAAGAATAAAGCCATCCCTAGCTGGTTTGGCTCAGTGGATAGAGCGTCAGCCTGCAGACTGAAGGGCCCCAGGTTCGATTCCAGTCAAGGGCTCATGCCTGAGTTGCGAGCTCTATTCCCAGTGGGGGGGGGGGGGGGCGGCGTGCAGGGGGCAGCCAATCAACGAGTCTCTCTCATCATTAATATTTCTATCTCTCTCTCCCTCTCCCTTCCTTTCTGAAATCAATTTTTTAAAAAAGAATAAAGGCATAGTTTATTGCAAAAAGCAACAACTTTGGAAGAATACTTGATAATGCAAGTGACCAATGTTCCTCACAAGTAGCGTTCAAAAAGAGCCATCTTTGAGAAGGGTCATCATCCCTGGGAAAGGAGCTAAGCATTTGTCGTTGGTGTATGTCCCTGAAAAAGGTACCACATGCCCTATGTCCTGGGAAGTCCAGAGAAGGTTAGGCGTTTCACAGAGAGGGAAGGTGTGGCCTGGGGAGCCTGGCAGCCTCAAATGGAAGTTTTGCCTCAAGTATGGAGCCCAAGCACTACAGTGGGACTGTCTAAAGGTGGCAAGTACTGTGGTTGCTTATTCAATGTCCATTCCCCTCTTTCTCCTTAGTTCACTTTCTTTGCATTTTGAGTGAAGGCATATGCCAAACTACCCATGAGATTTAACTAGAAGTCGTTGGATGGGACTTCTAGGGAAGCTCTTTAAAGGTGATTGTTTCACCCTAAAAGTGTCCTTTCTCTCTTTCTGTTTCTTCTTGCTGCTTCTTGGAATGTGGATGGGGCTGCAGCAGCCTTCAAGCAAAGAAGAGCCAACAAGCAAAGTTAAGAAGCCACTCACCAAGGACCAAAAAGACAGAAAGCATCCATGATGACTGGACTGCCTGCCCCTGGAACTCTTCCACATAAAGAAAAAAATAAACTTCTTTTTGGTTTAGGTTTCTGTAATTTGGGTTTCCTGTTCTAAGCAGTTGAGACAAATCCTAAGTGATACATGGAAAAAGTATCTAAGGCTATATCAGAATGTATTTCCCAAAGAAGTCCACACAATATTTCTTGAACTGTAAGATAACTGTCTGAATTGAAGTCAGAAATCAAATTGTGATTAGAAGAAAAGACAAGAGACTCTCGGGACATAGAAAGCTCCAGATTTAGTGCTGCAAGAGGCAAATAACTTTTGGAAAGCACCAGAATTCGCCGAGTGCAAAGTGTAAATAATAAAGGAGGGGACAAGACTCTTAAAGCAATTCACAATGTGAAGAGATAAAAGAACAGGAAAAAGTAATAGGGAGAGATTATAGGTCTCAGAGGGGCTATAAAACATTATACAATAAATGCTCTGGTAGGAACTCCATACAGAGTACCCAATTTATGTAGTTAAAAAGGGTAGTGTGTGCCAAGAAAACGCAAAGAATGCAATAAACAAAATTTTGGAAGCAATAACGTATCCACAGGCTAGAAAGAGAAGTAATGCAACCTGTAGAATACATACAGGAAGAGAAAAAACCACCAAATTTTAACTTGGAGGCACTATTGAAGAAAATGTAATTGCATGGGCTTTTAAGGTAAAATTTTTTTTAATGTAACCCATGCAGAAGAAAGCAATGAATCAACAAATATTGTACTTACAGGCATAAAGAAACTTAACAAATTACAGAAAAAACATGCATATCTTCAAGATCAGTGGGCGATGAAATTACTATTAAACTTAACCTTAACTAAGATGGTTGCAAGTTCAGAACCTTGCCACACTGGTGGCATGACAAGAGTATTTGCATCTGGAAGAACAGTACCATAAGAACCGGGGGCTGGCGGCAAAGACATCTGTATATTACCGAAGACCAGCATACGATGTTCAGCAATTGGATTCAATGTGCTATCCAGAGATATCATTCGATTCAGAGTAGCTCTTACTGTAGTAACATGCTAATGCTCTGGCCCTCTGAGAATGTACGTGTGAGTGCTTGAGTCCCAAGAGAGACCAGAGTTCCATATGGGAAATTCCAATTTAGAACTTAAGGTAGATGACATAATAAAAACATTGGGTCCAAATTTCTACATATACAGTAGGTCCTCAAAAATGTTGTTTTATTCGTCATTTTGTTATAACATTGATAAAACGAAGAAAGAAAGAAAAAACGATTCCTAGCCAGGGCCACTGTCTGTGTGCAGTTTGCACGTTCTCCCCATGTCTGCATGGGTTTTTGGGGGGGGAACTTCATTTTCCTCCCACATCCCAAAAATGTGCCTGGTAGGGGAAGTAGGTTGTCTACCTTGTGCCTGGCTGAGAGAGTGTGGGTCTGTGCGTGAGTGTGCCCTATGCCCTGAGGGCACAGGGCATCCTGTCCAGGATGTGTGTTTGCCCTGTGCCCTGAGCTGCTGCCCCACCCACCTGAGACCCTGAACTGGAACAAGCAAGTTGGAGAATAATTATCTTATCTTCGTTTTACTCATCTTTCTTAAATGTATGAATAGCTCACATTTATTTCAATATTTAATGTTAGGAGTGTTGGGGGTCTTTATTTAGAAATTTGGTGATGTTTTTGTGACCAGAAATATGCCACAGGAACTTAACTCTTGTTTCTATCCCTTAGCCTACATTAAAATTGGTTTTGTTACAACATCATTTCACTTAAAGTCACACTTTCTAAAAACTCATTGATGACATTAAGTGAGGACGTACTGTAATTTTCTTTCTATCCTTCCCTATGCACCCTCTCAGACAGAGCATCCTGAGCAGACAGAATAGGAGGTGTTTTTCAGGCATTTGGAGGAGTTATATAGTTAGGGAAAACACACTTTCTGTATAGATTTGTTTAATAACATTGTATTCAAAATATATATACGTATATATAAAATATATACAAGATATAATAGCTTGCATACTAAAAGAAATATCAACAGCATTAAAATTCAGTTGCTAAATCCTGCAGGAAGGAAACTTGTAGTTTAAGGGTTCAACTTTAAACAGGTGTAAACAGGGCTACAAGAAGGTTCTGCTATTAGTATGTCGGCT